GGCAGTGCTACAAGCCTTTTTAGATGTTGCAATTCGTTAATGTCCCGTGAATGGATTATTGAAGAAAGATGATATCATTGATCAAACAGTCATGGAGTGGGAGATAAGTATACTGCGCAATAAATAACACTTTAACAGAATAAAAAATGTCCAGATTATGTACATTATTAACATGTCTTATTGTGTGATGAATGAATATGGTAAAACCATAAATAAATTCACGAATTATCTCCTTTATAATGTAAAATCCTGACCTCGACTATTGTTTAATGTGGATAATGGAGTATTTTTTTTCACTCTAAGACTGTGAATGACCTAACTGCACCTTCTTCCTTCCATTTGAAGGGTGATTTTTTAATATAAATAATCAGAACCGGAATAGTAAAGTCATTTTGGAAGTTCAGTGTTTGATGAAGAAACGATTTCAAGTGTGTTATAAACAGTTGACAAACCCTTTGAGTCAATTTAACTTAAATCCATCGTATTTACTTATTTGACACATCTCAAAGCTCTCGTGAGGGCTCTTTTCAGAACAATTAGGATGTCAGCTTAATATGATCAGGATTGTCATGAACAGGCATCCATTTTATTTAAAAACATAAGGAAAGCTTTTGATACCGGATTGTGTTTCCTTGTTGTGTGACCTTGATATCTGATGTCTTCACTCGATAGATCTATATAGCTTTCCTCGCCGCTGTCAAGACTATTTTGACAAACCACGGGCTCATATTGACATGGACGTAAATGTGTAAAGTCAATGAGCTAATGTTTCATCGATGTCATTGTCTGGTGATGCCATGGTAAACACTACACAGACACGATGATCGTCTGCAAGTCAACTCTCCACAGTGACATCAGGTCACGTGATGACACTCTGTCATTCATTCTAGGGTAGTTTCCCGAATACGAGTAGTTTTTTAAACTTATTTTTGGCTACTGGTAGTGACTTTTGATTTTCCCCTTCAAGATACCTTGTTTTAATGTGTTTATATATGATTTAATCCCATATTTATATTGTACATCGCTTTTAATCCAATATTTTTGTAACACGAACGTGAGTAAGTGGAAACAAATAGAGGAGATCTACTTCATCCAAAATAGCTTTAGAAGATGCACATTTGCCAGCTCTAACAAAACGTTCAAGAAAGAGCATGAATCTTGTCAAAAACATCATGTCATCTTGTTCCCCAACTTTCTGCACCATATAGCAAAATGGGGGCAGTTTTACCGTAAACAATGCTACAAGCTGACTTAAGGGATAATTGGTAATTTCTGGTTTTTAACTCTCTGCGACTTGGTTGATGCAGGTCATCGATCCCAATTACGTGGATCGATGCTCATGATATCAATCACTGGATCGATTATTTAAAGTCCGCCGTCATATAGCTGGAATATTGCTGAGTGCGGCGTTAAGTTGCATATGGTGACCATTCACACAAAATGAAATTGCTACAATGTCATCAGTAAATAGTATACTCAAGAGCAGAAGATTCTCAATTTCTCGAGTTACATAATACCCACAATTACTACATTAATTCATATTCAAAACAAATAAACACCCCGGTCATACACCCATGGAAAATGCTTGAGTTTTACACACAGGAGTTAAAAGAGACGTCTTAACATATGAATACATATTATTGAGGAAAGTATATATTTTACCTGAAATTAGAACAAAAACTATCTACAAAATCGAAAGGTTTTTTAAAGTCTTGAAAGCACAGAAAAAAACCTGTTGATATCTTTCAGTGGTTATTTTTAGAGTTGGTTGGTTGGTTGGTTGGTTGCCGTACTCAGCAATATTCCAACTATATGACGGCGCTCTGTAAAAAATCGAGTCTGGTCAGACAATCCAGTGATTGATATCATGTGTATCGATCCCCGCAATTGGGATTGATGGCATGCTTCAACCAAGTCAGCGAGCCTGACCACCCGATCCCGTTAGTCGCCTCTTACGACAAACATAGTCGCCTTTTACAGCAAGCATGGGTTGCTGAAGACCTATTCTACCCCGGATCTTCACGGGTTGAGTGTTGAAGTTTAGTGCTTTCTATGACGATACTAACGTGACACAGGCTTATATTGATTTTGTAGATTTGATTATAGGTAACACAAATATAATAAAGCGACACAACCCTCTCCATAATCATAAAAATTCATCGTCCATTGCACGATTCAGATTTTGTCATAAGACCCGTGAAGAGCAGGGGTAGAATAGGTCTTCAGCAACCCATGCCTTCCGTAAAAGGCGACTATGCTTGTCGTAAGAGGCAACTAAAGGGATCGGGTGGTCAGGCTCGCTGACTTGGTTGATGCATGTCATCGATCCCAATTACGTGGATCGATGCTCATGATATCAATCACTGGATTGTTTGGTCCAGACTCGATTATTTAAAGTCCACCGTCATATAGCTGGAATATTGCTGAGTGCGGCGTTAAACAACAAACCAACCAACCAACCAATCATTTTAGGAGGAGATTTCCACCACCTGGTTAACAGTATCAGTATGTGGAAAATCATAATCCTATATATGATCAGTGTGCCAAGGAAAATGAAAAAATGCGTCCTTATCTTCAATGCAACGTCATCCGACCCTCTCGATATTTCGGTCTTGGTGGAATTTGGTGAAACTTGGTCGACATTTACACAATATAATATAATTTCTAGTATTCGGAATATGACAATGTGACAGATTTGTCAAGGTGGCCGCTGACGATTACACATCACTTGTCAGTCCTTCACATACAAAGCAATGATAAGAAAGAGCAAGTCTATTTCATGTTCATGTTTATTGTGAGGTGTCATAAATAAAAACGTATATACATGTACAGTACACATTCGTTCAGTGGCAAACATCCATATCAGTATTTGTCAGATATCATTATCTTTACAAATTTCAAAAGGCTGAGTGAGTGAGTTGGGTTTAACGCCGCCTGGAACAGTATTTCAGTTATACCACGGTGTGTCAGCTTGGGAGGAAAGCCCAAATTTATGCACGTCTCGGATGTTTTTACTTTGGTGAACCCCAGAGCAAGGGTATGGTGCTGACAAACCCAGAAACATGATCGGGACCAACCTGGATTCGAACCAACCATCAAAGGTTGTTAGAGTAACCAAGGGACTCAACTTTGCACATCGAATTACTGTGCCTTTAGATGGCTTGGCCTTATGTTGCTCCACTCGATCCCACGTCCCAACCCAAACAGATAAATGTTTAACAACATAATATTAACTCTTATGTACACATTGACATTGTCAGTATTGTAAGTTCGTTTCAGCTACAATTGTATTTCGCAGTGAACTGTTTGTACACTAAGTTTACGATGACCACGACACTATGACGCAGGTCAAGGTTACGTATAAGGTCGATATAGGTCAAGGTTACGTTTAAGGTCAAGGCTTATGCCTTCATCTCCTCCTCGTCCTGTTTGCCCTTCAGTTTGCCGGTGAAGGCCACATAGTTGAACTGGCCCTTAGCGATAGGTGCTTCCTTCCATGTCATTTTGATCTGGATTTAAAAAGACTCAGGTGAGTATTCATTTCATATCATATTTATACATGTTAATTCATAGATGAAAATTCAAGTGGAGCACCAATACTAGTTCATGGTGTTGAAAGGATTCGGCCTGTAAAACAAATATCCCAAAATAGTCGAGTTCTAGTTGACGAGGTATTGTGTTGTATCGAACTTCGTGATAGTATGGATGAAACGAAGCCGAATATAATTTCTCGAGTTACATAATACCCACAATTACTACATTAATTCATATTCAAAACAAATAAACACCCCGGTCATACACCCATGGAAAATGCTTGAGTTTTACACACAGGAGTTAAAAGAGACGTCTTAACATATGAATACATATTATTGAGGAAAGTATATATTTTACCTGAAATTAGAACAAAAACTATCTACAAAATCGAAAGGTTTTTTAAAGTCTTGAAAGCACAGAAAAAAACCTGTTGATATCTTTCAGTGGTTATTTTTAGAGTTGGTTGGTTGGTTGGTTGGTTGCCGTACTCAGCAATATTCCAACTATATGACGGCGCTCTGTAAAAAATCGAGTCTGGTCAGACAATCCAGTGATTGATATCATGTGTATCGATCCCCGCAATTGGGATTGATGGCATGCTTCAACCAAGTCAGCGAGCCTGACCACCCGATCCCGTTAGTCGCCTCTTACGACAAACATAGTCGCCTTTTACAGCAAGCATGGGTTGCTGAAGACCTATTCTACCCCGGATCTTCACGGGTTGAGTGTTGAAGTTTAGTGCTTTCTATGACGATACTAACGTGACACAGGCTTATATTGATTTTGTAGATTTGATTATAGGTAACACAAATATAATAAAGCGACACAACCCTCTCCATAATCATAAAAATTCATCGTCCATTGCACGATTCAGATTTTGTCATAAGACCCGTGAAGAGCAGGGGTAGAATAGGTCTTCAGCAACCCATGCCTTCCGTAAAAGGCGACTATGCTTGTCGTAAGAGGCAACTAAAGGGATCGGGTGGTCAGGCTCGCTGACTTGGTTGATGCATGTCATCGATCCCAATTACGTGGATCGATGCTCATGATATCAATCACTGGATTGTTTGGTCCAGACTCGATTATTTAAAGTCCACCGTCATATAGCTGGAATATTGCTGAGTGCGGCGTTAAACAACAAACCAACCAACCAACCAATCATTTTAGGAGGAGATTTCCACCACCTGGTTAACAGTATCAGTATGTGGAAAATCATAATCCTATATATGATCAGTGTGCCAAGGAAAATGAAAAAATGCGTCCTTATCTTCAATGCAACGTCATCCGACCCTCTCGATATTTCGGTCTTGGTGGAATTTGGTGAAACTTGGTCGACATTTACACAATATAATATAATTTCTAGTATTCGGAATATGACAATGTGACAGATTTGTCAAGGTGGCCGCTGACGATTACACATCACTTGTCAGTCCTTCACATACAAAGCAATGATAAGAAAGAGCAAGTCTATTTCATGTTCATGTTTATTGTGAGGTGTCATAAATAAAAACGTATATACATGTACAGTACACATTCGTTCAGTGGCAAACATCCATATCAGTATTTGTCAGATATCATTATCTTTACAAATTTCAAAAGGCTGAGTGAGTGAGTTGGGTTTAACGCCGCCTGGAACAGTATTTCAGTTATACCACGGTGTGTCAGCTTGGGAGGAAAGCCCAAATTTATGCACGTCTCGGATGTTTTTACTTTGGTGAACCCCAGAGCAAGGGTATGGTGCTGACAAACCCAGAAACATGATCGGGACCAACCTGGATTCGAACCAACCATCAAAGGTTGTTAGAGTAACCAAGGGACTCAACTTTGCACATCGAATTACTGTGCCTTTAGATGGCTTGGCCTTATGTTGCTCCACTCGATCCCACGTCCCAACCCAAACAGATAAATGTTTAACAACATAATATTAACTCTTATGTACACATTGACATTGTCAGTATTGTAAGTTCGTTTCAGCTACAATTGTATTTCGCAGTGAACTGTTTGTACACTAAGTTTACGATGACCACGACACTATGACGCAGGTCAAGGTTACGTATAAGGTCGATATAGGTCAAGGTTACGTTTAAGGTCAAGGCTTATGCCTTCATCTCCTCCTCGTCCTGTTTGCCCTTCAGTTTGCCGGTGAAGGCCACATAGTTGAACTGGCCCTTAGCGATAGGTGCTTCCTTCCATGTCATTTTGATCTGGATTTAAAAAGACTCAGGTGAGTATTCATTTCATATCATATTTATACATGTTAATTCATAGATGAAAATTCAAGTGGAGCACCAATACTAGTTCATGGTGTTGAAAGGATTCGGCCTGTAAAACAAATATCCCAAAATAGTCGAGTTCTAGTTGACGAGGTATTGTGTTGTATCGAACTTCGTGATAGTATGGATGAAACGAAGCCGAATATAACGGAGTTATCACTCTGAGTAATTACGGAGTAGCTTCCCTTTATCTGTATCATGACCCTCATCTGCATATTGCATTATGAACTGTTACTGCACGTTCTGTGTTTCGTGAAGCTCACCTCATCTTGGGTAAAGTTGTCTCCCATGTTCTGCAGGAGGTCCTTGATGCTGAAGTTGAGATAAAGGATATATATGGTTAGTGAGCTTCAACGAAACAACGATGCACATCTAAGTCATAAACATGTATTAACAAGTTCTTATTCACTATTGATTGTAACTCCTCTTTTGAACACTGATTCAATTATTTTACGGCGTGGCTGTTTAATACGATACAAAGACAATGGAAACAGACCTCGGGTCATACTTGGAGCAAATAGCGGATTTGAAGCCAAGATCAAAGCCTGGCTTAAGATGAGGGACAAATATTGCCATTTTGGTCTGGACAATACATATTTATGTTACATATCTAAAAGAAATTATCTGTGCATTTTAAAGTAACACGCGATGATAAATCCATGTCTTCAAAAGGGGATATTTCGATTGGATGTGAACACCAGCCATTTCTTTCTTTGATCAAAATCGGGAATTGACAACAAAGTATTTTAACTGCTTACTTATCCTCGGGCAGTGTTCCTTTGCCATCTTCGTCAAACATAGCGAAAGCGTTCTTGATTGTTTCTTCCGAATCAGTACCTTGAAGAAGAAAATCAAGTTCATAATTGAAACCGGTATTAGATTATAGAATGTGCCATAGGAACGTCTTAAAAATCCAGTTCGTGCAGACAATGTTAAAATAAACTTCTTTTGGCGGTCACTTCTTTAGAATATTTACGTCACTGGTTTAATATTTGTTCTGTATCATTTGAAGACTCTAGGAATACAATGTTTGCCATGACGTTATGATTTTGTCAGTAATATTGCTGTGCGACCTACCTCCCATCTTCTCCCCGAACATGTTGAGGAAGGTGGTGAAGTTAAGGGGGCCAGGTGCTTCCTTCAGCATCTCCTGCAGTTCAGCGTCAGATGGGACCTTTCCTGGTGATATCAAGGTTCAGAGTGAGTGAGGAGATATCATTTAACGTCAAAATCAGTATTAACTCGGTTCTATTCTGACATTGGTAGATCTTTTTAGCAAAGAGATGAAGCAGCCACTTTGGCTGACATTGAGACTATCAACTCTCATGACTGACAACCAAAAAAGTCAAGGTTTACAGAGGACATCGTCTGCCATTCAATTTCGACCACTTTTTCACAAACGACGTAACTACTAATTAACATTTAATAACTATTTTGAACTACCATTATTTTCCCTGGACATATTTTATAACTATATGGTCCTAATAAGTGAGTTGGACATGGTACTGGATCATAATCAGGACCACTGGCGGATCATGACAGGCTCATGGAACTTGTGCCTACACTTACATTTGAATAATGTCATCACAGGTAGATACTTAATATAAGAATGAGATTTTCTGTTTAATATTCTACACTGACATCCTTACCCAGGTTGGCGTAGATGCTCTTCAGGTCATCAACCTGGATGATTCCGTCCCTGTTGACGTCGATCAGAGCAAAGGCCTGAAATATACATGAAATATTCATGAAATATGAAATAAATAAACATAATAGACACATGCATCAATATCATAGTCCAAGCTAAGCCCTTCGCATCAGCTACTTCTCGTAAATGTCATAAGAGCATTTTGTGCCAGTGCAATATTAAGTAACGTGTTTGCTAAATGCTTATTCAACTTATAAGACATCGCATTAGACAACTTTATATACTTTCAATCAGCAATATATCCCATCTTGTGGTGAACCTTTTCATTACAAAACTTGAACATTTCGTCTTTTAACTTTTTCTGCGTTATTGCCGAATGATCTAAATTATAAGATTATGATATAAGTTTGTAGATAAGTAAATTGTTGTCAAAATTGTCGTGCCAGAGCTGCAAATCGGTCTTATATTAGATCCGCATAAGAAAGTAATTTTCATATTTTGGCATATAAGACTCAATTCTTACTCAATGTCGTTTTTGACGTTTCATTGACTTTTAAAAAGCTTCCCTCCTCCTCTGATTTTATTGAACGGATATCGCTGATATGGTGTATATTGTAACAAGGAATATCTTTCTTGACAGAAGTCGTAATTGTAGCCCATGTTATATTATTAAAAAAAACCTTCTCATCACCAGTAATGTATTTCCATATTGATGACGTTGTCAAATATCTTGATTACAAGTCTCTGTCATTCCTACGTACATTGAGGAATTCACAATTCAAAATCATCTACACTTACCTCTTTAAACTCCTGGACCTGAGCAGGGCGGAACATAGCGAGAACGTTTGTGGGAGCCATTGTTGATATCTACAATAGGAGAAAACTGTCTGTGTTAAATAATAGAAATGCGAGAATCTAATCCTCCTTTATTGTCGGAACGTTTTAACTTTCAAACTTTTTTTCCGAAAAAAATACGAGTAATCACGAATGTAAGAAATCGTGACTTCTCGTGTAAGTTCGGTTGAAGAAAAAGAATTGAACTGGTTCCATTGACTGGATACGCAGTTAGGTATGCGCTTTTACTTGGAGAAATTAGCCCAATCTAGAACTGACAGCGGATCGTAAACAGCAGGGGACTATATGAGATTAATAAATTCTTATCGAGTTTTTATGTAGTGAATCGAAATTAGATGGATTTTGATACAGTTGCATGTACAGATTCTAGAATGTCAACAAATCTGTCGATCTTACCTTGAATCAGCTGGTGCGAGCGAAGGAAGACTTGAAATATCTTGCTGGAAGACGAAGTGATACTGACAGTCCTGAGATCGTCAGTGTTTATATACACCCATCTACCATACGTCAAAGCATATCAAGTGTCCGTTTCTCTGTGTAATGAGTCAACATTGCGTCACTAAGACGCATCTAATGAGTCTGGCCACGTGGTCACTCTGGCAGCGGTAATTTGAGCAGCCGCTAATGTTCTAACCACGTGCTCTCGGCTGGGGGTCGAATGTACTAAGTGACATATACAGGAATACAATATACACCACTGTAATATACATGTTGTGTGTTATGTCAGGACTCATGAACGACACATTACCCGACGGGGCGTGTAAGTAACATCAGGCAATACACTGAATATAGCCGACTGCAGGGAAATATAGGTAATTTGAATTATGTCACTGCATACTCATACATGTACCAACCATTTAAACAGAGGGGCAAAAGAAACTATACCTCTCAGATGATTTTCAATTGAAAATATCATAACTTCGCTTTATTATACTCCAAAAATGAACTGTACTGGCGCTTAGAAGGTTTAATATTGTAAATTAAAAGTTGATTTAAAACATTTATACATTTAGAAATCAATTGCGCATGATACACAACTGCGGATGGGTATCTTAGACATGTTATCTTTAAAAATGAATAAAAAAATCGGCACAAATTTACATTTCAAACCTTGCAGGTGTCCTCTGGTTGCAAATTTATTTCTTACCCCAGTCTTCATTGAACCAATTTTTTGTTACACATATTAACAAACTGTTGCAGGAATGAGTGATCGTTGAATAGATAAAATCAAATTTGGGTAGCCCATGGGTACAAAGTGTGAATCTCATATCTGGTGTCCCCCGCCCTGATATTGCTGGAATATTGCTAAAAGCGGCGTAAAACCATACTCACTCACTCTTTCAATTTCATAAAAAAAAATCGGTATACTTTCTTGTGCCCCTCAGTATACTTTCAACTATCTTCAAAAACAGTCTACTACAGTTATTGTATGAGGGTGTTTTTTTTTAGGAAGACTTGTTTAAAACTGTCCTGCATAATTTAATGTGTATATGGCCAAACAACATGTGCAGTGTGGTTATTTCTTGAAACATTTCGAAATTATGTAGAAATGGTGCATATAAGGCTCAACAATGCGTGTAATTAATGTGATTATTGTTTGGGACATTACCAAATGATGTAGCAATGTGCTTTGGGTAAATAAAAGCGACAAAGACATTTCAATAATCATGAATAATTTCGTTTCTTATCGGCGTGATAATATATATATTTTTCCATTTTTTAAAATTACAGCAATTGGCTAATGGCAAATAAAAGGGACAAAAAATGACCTCTTCAAACATTATTAATTCGTCAGTTGAGTCAGTATATGAGTATAATTTTACGCCGCTTTTTTCAATATTCAAACACCATCACAGCGAGAGATACTAGACTGGGCTTCACATATTGTACGGTGGCGAATCAAACCCCCAATCGATTTATCAATATTCCAACAATATCAAGACGAGGGTTACCAGAGTGAGTTCTACATATTGCACCCATGTGCGTAATCGTTCCGTTACTGGGCTGTCCCACCGAGCGAGTTTGAATTTAGTTTCTTATCGGCGTAAAACTATATATGCATATTTCCATTTTTCAAATTATACTCTTCCAAACAAGTTGGGGGTACTCGTTCATAACTCAAAATTTTCAAATTGTAATTTGTAATACCGTCACGATTTGTCAAACATTTACTCATGTGATCACTTGACGAGGCATACTGCATTTTGAGTCTCCCAATGACGATTTGAGGGAAAATGTCATCCTCTTGCAGAGTCTGGCCAAGTTAAACCAACGTGGTCGGCGGCCTATGACGTTGACGCAGACGTCTCCCTATCATGTCCCACTCGTAAATGGGGGAAAGGTCTGGTTTCATTGCTGGCCATGGCATTCTTTGGATGCTGTGCTGCTGGAGGTGAACATTGACGATTCGTGCACGGTAAACACGTGCGTTGTCATCCTGAAAGACAAAACGACGACCCAGACGCCTTGCCAACGGGACAACCAAGGATGTCAGACTGCTGTTTCCCTATTACCGTCCAATGACCCTTCCATGCACAATATGGAGTGAGCCTCGGTCAGTCATAGTGATGCCACTCCATGCCATAACCGACCCATAGCCAAATGTGTCCTGAGGTCTCAGGTTGACATTTGCTTGACATTCATTTCCAGACACAACCACGCTCATCAAGGTAGTGCAAACTGAAACGTGACTCATCTGAAACAATGAGACGTGACCGGCGAAGATCTCCCCAGCTTCGACATTGTGTACACTGCAGACGTCTGATGGGGGATATGATAAGATTTAAAGTGGCGGCACAACACCTGTTCGTCAAGCATGTAGATGAGCTGCATGTAGACAATTTCCGCAACTGACCCTTAACTCCTACTCCAGTAGCCTGATGAAAGTTTGCAGCAATTTGATTCGCCGTTTGAGTCCGATTTCGTAGAGCCTGGTTTATGATCAATCCATCCTGAAGTTTTGTCGTTGTTGGCTTCATTGGTACATATTCGATAGCCTGATAATCGAAGCCTGGGAAACATTGAACGCATTGGCCTCTGCACTTTGACGTCTTCCAGTTTCCAGCATGCCAATAGCCCGAAGGCGCTCAGCACGTTGCAGACGCGGCATCGATAGTTCATAAACAAACAATGAATAAAATCAATTTAATCACAACTGAAGATAAGCAGAACCAATGAAATTGACAGAAATAATGGTCCACAGAGATAAATCGTCCTTCATCCAAGGGTCAAAATAAAAAAAAACTTTTTAAGACATCCTATGCACGTGTGTGGCGCCAGTGAGTGCAGCACGTGCAAACTATTGGATGCGTTTTGTTTTTACAGACATGAAGGTTCTTGTGTATAATGTTTGTCGTCAACACAACATATTTGTTCTAATACTTGGTATTGATAATTCTGTTTCATGATCCCGGACGTGAGAGTGTATATTATATATTTGGGACGGTAGGGCGGACTGGCGAAAATATTTAATTATACTCTTTTACTATACTATTTTGAAACTAACGTCTGTTACTGCTCAAACAAACCGTCCTTGTCAAAGTACCTGATGAAATATTTAATAAACAGATAAGGCTTACTTGCTTAGTGATCAGTGCATACCAAAATCAATAATAAATGTGTCCAAAGATTCATTTAAACTCGACCTTTGTATACCGCCTCAAAGAGAAGAAAGCAGATTTAAGGCGATGATTTAGACATCCTTTACAGATTTGAAGGGTTAAGTCTTTACATATATCCTTTCTGTTGAAAAGTTGTGTTTTAAGTGGTTATTTTGCCTTGATGTTTGGTGTTTCAAGAGTTGTAAGTTTCCAGCTTTAAGTTACCATGACACAAGTTCGTATCGATTTTGTTGACTTGCTTTGAGGTAACGCGAAGGTTTGCTTCACAAAACCTGCAACATCTAAATGAACTTATCGTGATACAAATGTCGCTGCTTGAATTCAGTAACACTGTTTGAATTTGATACGAAAATATTTAGTTAGTAGTTTGGTCGGGATTTTTATTTTTTGCAATGTGTGAATTTGACGATTATGATAATGAAATAATTATCTGGGTTATTATGTTGACGATTATTACAGTAATGATAACGGTGAGATAATGATTATGTTGATGATGGTAAAATAAGCGTTACCCTGCATTAATCCACACAGTTCTGTTCTGAGTGAATAAGGGGCGGTCGGGATTCCCGACATGGGTACAATGTGTGAAGCCCATTTGTGGTGTCCCCCGCCGTGATATTGCTGGAATATTGCTAAAAGCGGCGAAAACCTCACTCACTCACTCACTCTGACTGAAACAGTTATCTTCATTTCCGGATTCACTATTGAATGTTTTTGTTATGATGTCATGTTTTTTTTATTCAGTGTTTCCGGATCAACGGCATCCGGACTAAAGAGTTTAACTGTATTTCCCAAAAGTGGAATATATAACACTGCGTCACTTTTTATTCGCAAAACACAAGTTCCCCTTTAAATAATCTTAAATAAATTTAACTGGCATGATGCCGTAACACTGTCAGAATATGTATTTCGACTTCTTAACAGTATCAGTATGAGGAAAAGCACGATCATAGATAAAAAAGTGTCCCTAGTAAAATAAAAAGTGCCCATATCTTCAATGAAACTTTCTCCAAAACCGAAATCTCGGTGTGTACAGTTATATTATATAAGTTCCGTGCTTCGCGCCACATAACCGCATGGATATTTACACAATAATATCATTTCTAAAATTGGGAATATGTGTGAGTGAGTTGGGTTTAACGCCACTTTTAACAGTATTCCAGTTATATCACGGCGTGTCAGCTTAATGTGGGAGGAAAGCCTGAAGTGATGCAGACCTCAGACGTTTATCACATCGGTGAAACCCACGAGCACGGGTATGGTGCTGATGAACCCAGAAACATAATCGGGGCGAACCTGGATTCGAACCCACAATCATAGGTTTCTGGCATGCCCAAGGGACGCAACACTGCACAGCGAATCGCGGCGCCTTAGACGACTGGGCCACCCGTGCGCCCTCGGAATATGACAAGCGTTCTCATACAGATGATTGTTTTATAGAATGTATTTAACAATTAATCTGACTATAAAATCAAACTATCTTTCGTGGTATTTGGATATCCGATCCGTTAAAATTAATTACGCAAAGAACAACGCCACAAGCACAAATGAATAATTTTATGTGTATTTTCATCACGACATTTTTGTTCGGTGTGTTTTATACAACTAAGTATATCAAACTAATTGGAAGATATAGTTATAATCTACTGCTGAACAAAATGAAAGTGCAAGTGCCATGGGAGGTACAACTTTACAGAGTTCGACAGATCGTCACATCTGTAAAGCAAACAATATGGTATTCAAAACATCGAAAGCGGCGCGAAAATAATAATTTGTCCATGTCATGTCAATTTCAAAGACTGAAGACGAACAGACAGGGGAAGGGAAGACTACCATATAGAGGCTCCATATATGGTCAGGCTTAGTCTGCCTGCTTCCGCCTGGGATTTTTTAATCGCTTTGCGGGGCATTTTCTGTCTACTCATCCGTTTGACTATCGTGTCCACAAGTCAAGTACTTATGCCTTATTATTAGCAACATTGACGATGCCTTCAGTTGAGGGGTAAGCCACGGCTGGCATTTACGCGTGGCAGTAGGACCGAGGGCAGCATTGGTTTATGGTACCCAAACAGGAGGTTGGTTATAAAAAAGTTTATCACAGACATTAATTGTCATTTAAATTATTCCCAATAGTAAGATCAAACGTCCTCAGAACACTCAACATTGATGCTATTTTATTTTGGTAGGATTAACAGAAATAGCACACGCATGGATTGATTGCATCCTGTGTATCCTATTGGTGTTTGGCACCACAAGGTAGAGTGAGTGAGTGAGTACGATATTACGCCGATTTTAACATATTCCAGCAATATCACGGCGGGGGACACAAGAAATTAGCTTCACCCATTGTCCCCATGTTGGGAATCGAACACGTGACGAGCGACAATTTAGCCACTAGGCTAGCCACTACTAATATAGTAGATAGATGCTGTAACCAAGTCTACATGACACCCAATGAAAACGATCGACTCCGAGGTCTAGTGGTAGAGCTTCTGCCTGGAGAGCGAAAGGTCCGGGGTTCGATCCGCGGTCTCGTCATACCAAAAGACGTTAAAAGATGGTACTTGTTGTTTCCCTGCCTGGCGCTCGACATCAAGGGGCCAAAACAAGGACTGTTCGGTATACTGGGGTATTTGTGCTAAACTGCGGCATGGTATCTCAGTGTGCTAGCACTTTAATATCGGCATTAGTACAGACTAGTACATGTAGCCGCCCCCCCCCCCCCCCCCCCCCCCCCCCCATCCCCCCACCCCGAAAGGCACGTCGCAGTATAAGTGCAATAATCCTTAACGCGACGTAAAAATCAATGTTGCCACACCTCATCACCCACTGAAAACATTCTTCACGCACGGCTGTACAATTACGCCAGTGCTTCGTGATTTCAGCACTTTCAGTTTTTGTGTCGCGAACTGACTTAATGTAACTAGGCAAATTGATATTAACAACAAAATCGCAATCAATTTTATCTCGTTAAGAAAAATCACGACCTGGCACGTGAAGCCCCGGATCTGCAGAATTCCATGCAGTCTATAACAACAGAGAGGAGTTGGGGCGGGAGAAGATTGATATGGCAACCGTGCATGAATTTGTCGACGGGGCGCATGACGTAATCACAGAAGCACACGAACTCCACTGCACTGCTTTTCCCCTGTTCAGTTGACATGAAGCCTTCTCTTGCACTTCTATCCACAAAAACGCGGTCTTCACGCCGTTGTTCTCACATTTATCCTGCTTAAAATATATTAATGTAGACAAAAATACTTATAACGTGTTTAATAAAAAAACACCCAGTACTACGAGCCCCTTCGACTGTTTCAAAACATCAATGTCATACCTACACTTCAAAGAAATGATTTAAGAATGACATTTTTGTCTTGTTCTGATTGTATGTTAGCGTCTTCAGTTCAATATTTGCAACGTCGCGTGGAGCGTACGATCAATGAATATTTCAAAGCGAACGCGAATCGTTTTATCAGCCGAGGAAAGAATGTATTCTTGAATTGACAATGATAGCTAGTGCACGTCATCCGCAACGGCATGTTTACACAAATGTTTACAAAGACATATTTTCCACCTCACTGCTTGCTTTTCCTATTCTCAGACAACAGACACAGGTTAATTATACTGCCTTCTAGATTCAGGGAAATTCGAAGTTTATAGATTTCATGTTTCCCCTGAGAATACAACGATCCAGTCGATATTAGAAAGCGTAGGACGTAGGGCTAATATGGTAAAAAAATTTGTTGTTAGGATTGGCTTTTCCTTTCAATAAAATCGATGATCATTATAGTTGGTGAATGTCATATTTTTATATATCAGCAACCTTGGTTCATGTCGTAGTTTGCTTTAATAAATATATTGATAAAAAAAGTGTCCTTGGAAGCCATGTCAGCTAAATATTGATTCGACTGCTATGTACTTTGTTTTCTTTACGATCTAAAGTACAAGTGCGGGATTCGAACCCACACTCATAGCTTTCTGGCGTGCCCAAGGGACGCAATTCTGCACCGCTTGTGGTGCCTTAAACGACTGGGCCACCAGTACCCCAGAATCAGAGAGAGGATAGAGTGGTTATAGTGAGTGAGTGAGTGAGTGAGTGAGTTGGGTTTAACGCCGCTTTTAACAGTATTCCAGTTATATCACGGCGTGTCAGCTTAATGTGGGAGGAAAGCTCGAAGTGATGCAGGTCTTTGACGTTTACCACATCGGTGAAACCCACGAGCACGGGTATGGTGCTGACAAACCTAGAAACATAATTTGGGCGAACCGGGATTCGAACCCACAATCATAGGTTTCTGGCGTGCCCAAGGGACGCAACTCTGTACAGCGCCTTAGACAACTGGGCCACCCGTGCCCCCCAGAGCGGAACCATCACGATTTTTATGTAATAAAAATATTAAGATGTAAGAAATTTACCCCGTAGCAACAGTGTCCTCGGTAGCAGGGTGAGGTAAAATTGGGTTTAACGTCGCGTCCAAGGTTATTGCACTTATATGGCGACGTGCATGTACGTTTGTGTGAGGCTGCTTGTACTGGTCCGGACTTAAGCCGATTTAGCCCCTTAATGCCGAGCGTCAGACAGGGTAACAACATGTACAATCTTTAACGTCTTTTGGCATGACGCGGCTGCTGATCGAGCCCCGGACCTTCCGCTCTCCGGGGGGAAGCTCTACCATTAGACCACGGAGGCGGTCCCGGTAACAGGGGTAGAATGGAATTCCAATGCGGGCATTAGACATTAGCACATGCTCTCTGTCATATGCATCATATTAAAAACGTCCCAACGTCTTCAGCCTTTTCCAGGACAACGTATTCGAAGGTTCTATAGGCATTGCTATGACATCAATAACCGAAAACCCTTCCCGATCGACCGGGTACTTTTACAATAGCTAGAGAATCTGATATCGGACCATGGTTTATCATGGGTGAGGGGTGTTTTAGGGTGTGTGTTGTGTCGAGGCAACCGTTATGTTGCATGACCAAGAATGCTATACTGTTCCCATCGAAATTAGTTCACTGAGTTTATCCGTTTATCAAAACATGTACCCATCTCTAGACGATCTATGACTCACTAGCTGTGGCAAGTTTCCCAATAGTATTCCTTGTCATTTTTCAAGTTCTCAAGTTCTTATACGATTCGCTGCGATCAATTTGAGTCTCTAAATGAAAACGCAAAAGACCTCGGTTGAAGAATCAATACTTTTCGAAATATAAAAAAAATATTCAGATCTCGACAAATGTCATCATCTGTCTCCAGTAATATTCATGACGAGGAGTATTATTGGTAACAACTTCTTTGTTCTTCTTCAGCGCTACTTCGTGCGCCTTCATCTAGTGGAGGGTACATATTAGATACTGAGTACAAAATAGTCATATATATGAACAGACATGCACAGGTAATAATGCATCAGGTCTTAATCGATCGGAGTTTATTTCACACATATACATGATTTCGTTAGGACCCATGAGTGGTAGTTAGAAGACAATTGAAGTTTCAGATTGCTTCAGAAAGAATTGATTTTCACACAAGAGTACTAGATACCATGTGTTATCTTATGTATGACGTCATGAAGTGCGCTTTGGGTGTCAGATAAACACTATTGATCATAACTTCACTGATAAACACTATTGATTATAACTTCTCTGGGAGAACGGCTTGACTCCATCGATTGCATCCAAACCGTACTTTGGTTCTCTAACTAATGAATGATTCCGAGTTGTCTACAGGCATGTGACTTATAACTGTTTGCAAAGAAGTGACGTAATTATTGCCTTGTTGCCAGCTGTAGACCAATACACACAACGTTGTGTGTGGTTTGTGCCTCTGACTTGTGCAGTGACCAAGTACGCAGGGGATTTGTTTGAGAACATCATGCAGAATGGTGTATTCATTTTCAAAGATACGATCACTGACGTTTTGAAGACGAGGAAATACGTAAGTATGTCAGTATTTCTGGAGACACACACAACATGAGATGAACTTTATAATGACGGCGATACGAGAAACTAGTGACTGTGTCCTGGGAAAGGAGGGGTTTTATTATTATTATTATGATTATGATTATTATTATTATTATTTATTCATCCTCCGAGTTGGGGGATAACAATAACAAGGAGATTATGCAGTTGTGTACATAATTGGACGTGACTTATGATATGATATAAATATATTTATTTCTATAAAGTGGAGGGTTTGCCAAATAAGCAAATTTTGCTAATCTGAATGCCTCTCCCAAACATGATACATATACAAATTACAATGTATTGAAAGTGACATGAGAAATAGCATACATTATATAATTGATATTAAAGATAAGTATTGTTATGTAAGTGTTTTATTACTGGATTATCTTTCGTAACTACAGCTACGCTATTATTTACATCCAGCACAACCACATCGCATTATAATATTATAGCAAAGCCAACATCTCAGACAAAATCTCTAAATCGGCAAGAAGATAGAATAGAACTGTGCACTGATTTCAAAATTTCAAGATTTATTACAGTCGTTAATTGTGAATTACTATTTAGAATTGAATTTAAATCGTAGCCTTTTACGAAATAATACATATTTTGCGTTAATGTACTGTTGAAGGGACACGTAAGAAAGAAATGAAGTGCATCTTCCGTATGATAACCACAACAACATCTCGGGCTGTCGGATATAAATCTGGCAAATTTGTCGGCGTAAAGATCGCTGCAGCCAAGCCTGAGATGGGAGTGTATAACCTGACAGAATCTTGATCCACAATTTACAACAACGTATATACTATACTTATCATTGCTTTTTATAAAATTTTAAAAACCTCCTAAGCTACTGGCATAAGTGTATTCAATTTGTAGTGAGTTCCAAACATTAACTGTATCTGGAATAAATGATCTGGCATAATTATTTGTTTTACACTTAATGTTTTGCAGCTGTGAGTAGTTTCTCAAATTATCATCACTTGCATCCGACACTCTATTTGGAACTAAGGATGAGAGATAACCCGGTACTAGATTGTTAACCATTTTATAAAAGATATTTAACTTTTGAAAATGCCTTCTTTCTTCTAATGACGTAAGATTTGATTCTTGATGAAGTTTACCGTGACAAGTGCCACGAACAGCCCCACAAATAGTTCAGAGTGCATCTAGATTAAATTTTTCAAGTAGTAACGCCTGTTCTTTTGTGCAGTTGTCCCATATGTGGCAACAATAATCAAATATCGGTAACATGAAAGATTTATACATAATTTCCAGTGTTTTTCAATTTAAACGATACTTGAAACTCATGAGACAGTGAATCATTGGACTGACTTTCTTAACATGGCTATCAACATGACTGTTCTATTAGCAAGGATAATATATCGATGGCTTTAATGAACGTTCATGTATCTGTTTGAAGTGTAGCTGGCTAATTATTCATATAATTAGAAAGCACATGTCCTAACGATGACAGACATATGCCATTTATGTATACATATATGGAGAATTGTCCGTGAGTTAAACTGCCCGATAAAAATATAACAAATATCCACGACATTGTCAGTGTATAAACACAGTGGGCGGAAGTGGTCGTGATTTGTTATGAGTAGACTAAAGAATAGGTTGCAATAAGAATGACAGTTTTTATTATATACCCTGATGAAATTACGGCGACGTCCATATACATATGTAGGTTTCAGTGTAAGCGCCCTTTTGATAATGATAAAACATCTTTGGGGGAAAGTATACATGGGACATTTTCAAAGGTAGACAAAAACGATGTCCAAATAATCCATACAATCCTCAAAGTCACATCGCTCTCATCACATTTGTCTATGTCTATTGTTTATATAACAGTAATAACATTGAACTTACATACCATCACCAAGGTCAAGTTGACGTGTTTTCAAACAAATTCGTTGAAAAACTGTTCAGCGGCAGCAATTGTATTCAACAAACGTATTTTCGATCGCTCCTAACATGGGCGCCATATGATATGATATATACAAGCATCGCGTTGTTGTGCACCCACGCAGACCACTTATCAAAACGTCGAGTATTATCGCCGCTATAGTTTGTTGTGGCCGTTTGAAATGGAATTGATAAAAAATAAAATATGAACTAATTGGATAATTTTAATAGTTGAATCTAAAAGCGAAATACGTATCGAGTAGGCTATTTTTTATACAAGGCAAACGATATCTAGGTGAGAGAGGAATATATGTTTTAAAGTACAATCATTGTCAATATCAAGACTGAATGAGAGTGAAGCTTACGAAAATATTAATGACTTCGATTGAAGTTTTGTTCAATCTATATTCAGTGTATGTGAATGTTCTTAATGTGGAGAGGTGTTTACATAAGCAAATTCTGCTTGTTTACTGATCTTTTCAAATAAAAATATGTTTGAATAAAATACGTGTATGTGCTCAACGATCTGAAAAGAACAATTGTCCTGTTTCATCATGCATTTCGCGCCTCACTTGGGCCTGACTCAACTACATACATATTATCGTTGCGGTATATCATTTTAATCAAAATGGAAAAAACACATGTCAACATATCTAAATTTATAATTTTGAAAACTGCGGCAAATTATTTCGAATTAGTCAATCGACAAAATGTCTTTCATTTAACTTGAGAGACACTGTTGCGATTACTTGTCAAATGGGTTTGTTTGTTTGTTTGTTGTTTAGCGCCGCACTCAGCAATATTCCAGCTATATGACGGCGGTCTGTATAATAATCGAGTCTGGACCAGACAATCCAGTGATTGACATCATGAGCATCGATCCACGCAATTGGAATCGATGACATGTATCAACCAAGTCAGCGAGCCTGACCACCCGATCCCGTTTGTCCCCTCTTACGACAAGCATAGTCGCCTTTTAGGGCAAATATGGGTTGCTGAAGACCTATTCTACCTCGAAATCTTCACGGGTCGTCATTCACACGTTCACATAGTTTAACAAGAAAACGTTTGCGTTGCGTTCCTGTTTTACTTCTTACCGAAGGTGTTGCGGCCACTGCGAATGAGTACGAATGAACAAGACACCGTCACGACAACGTTAGGACTCTCATACTATGCTGCTGCTCTGGACCACGATTTCTTTCCACAACTACGCTAGAGCAAGATTTTTTTAACATTCCCAAAACAATCCTGCTTCTACGGTGGCATCAGGCCAAACTACGGTTAACCACGAACATGTGTACGACGCTGTTAAAAATCGTGCTCTGTCGTAGCATTTGGTTTTGGATTGTTGTTTAACGCCGCACTCAGCAATATTCCAGCTATATGACGGCGGTCTGTAAATAATCGAGTCTGGATCAGACAATCCTGTGATTGACAACATGAGCATCGATCCACGCAATGGGGACCGATGACATGCATCAACCAAGTCACCGAGCCTGAACACCCGATCCCGTTAGTCGCCTTTTACTACAAACATAGTCGCCTTTTACGGCAAGCATTGGTTTCTGAAGACCTATTCTACCCCGGATCTTCACCGGCCCTGCCGTAGCAAACAACATGTATGTGGGAACGGGGCACATCCTTACAATTATCATGCATTTCAAGGTTTAAGTAAAACTAAAACTAAACAACTAACAGAATATCGAGAATTTTAAGAACTACTGGACCAAATGTCACATGTAATAATTGTTTAAAAAAATAAAAATGAATTTACTTTCTATTCCGTTACCCATAAGGCTCATAGATTTCTGGAAAACTATCACAAATAGGAAACAATAATTATTCAGAAACGAAATTATGATATCAATCAACACAGACTCACACGTGAAGATCGAGGGTAGAATAGGTCTTTAGCAACCCATGCTTACTGTAAAAGGCTTCTATGCTTGTCTAAGAGGCGACTAACGGGATCGGGCGGTCAGGCTCGCCGACTTGGTTGATGCATGTCATCGAACCAAATTACGTGGATCGATGCTCATGATATCAATCACTGGATTGTCTGGTCCAGACTCGATTATTCACAGACCGCCGTCATATAGCTGGAATATTGCTGAGTGCGGCGTTAAACAACAAACCAACCAACCAACCAAATCAAAGGAGAGTCCTTGTGGTGGAGAAAATGGTTGATATCAATAATTTCTCTTTATCAACAAACAACAACCAACCAACACAGACACATTAAGGAGAGAACAATAATATTCGTTCGAATGCATAATCTTTCACAGATTCCACTTTTATATGTTTCACTGTTGTTTTTGTCTTCTACCTCTCGAACTTACCGCATTCATAAACTTCGTTGGAACCCCGCGGAATAAGCGTGGAAGGCTATTCAGTCTCCCCTTCTTTATTGTAAGAAATTTAGGGGTTTTGTTAAAAATAAAATTGAACCACTAACAACATAACAGGAATTTGTAAAACACATATACCAAAATTAATTATAGCAGATAACTGTAGACAAAATTAGAAATGCACGTATTTCACCTTTTTCTCACCTTTTTGCGAACACCTGGTATCATCACTATTTGATAGTGATTCATAAACACATGCTAATGATATAATCGGAATCGCTTTTAGCAGGAATATCTTATGAATATGGAAAGGGTTTTGTCGCTTATATTCCTATACAATTAACAATAAACTCTTATGTCCCTACAGACTTCTAATACAACTGTTACAAATAGATCAGATAATGTAGACAGTGGTATCTCTAATTTAATCCAGCTTCTATGTTGTTTTTATTACACAAGACTTTTTTTATATATACTCTTAAAAGAAAAGAAACTTGACACTGACTTTCAAAATGTAATATAATGCGATTGTTTCAAAATAGGACACAGAAACCATAATTGAAACACTGTTTGAAGATCAATGTACACAATGTTCAAAACATTAATCGTGTCACCTAAGGCAGACGCACGTACACGATACAGTTAATGTCACAGGGGTACAGAAAATGTCAGTATCGGTTGTGCCCACCACGTGCATCAATCACCGCTTGACACCGACGACCCATAGATGCAATCAAGTTGTCAATAACACGCTGTTGGATGTGCTGCCATTCATGCTGAAGTGCATCAAAAAGCGCCGGAAGTGTTTGGGGCGGTGGATTCCTTCTGCGAACGCGTCGATCCAACTCGTCCCACAGATGCTCAATCGGGGACAAATCTGGTGACCGGGCTGGCCAAGGTAATGTCTGGATGTTGTTGTGCCGTAAGAAGTCCTGACAAACACGTGCAATATGCGGTCGAGCGTTGTCCTGCTGGAACTGTCCGCCATGAACGTTGACGTGAGGAAGAACGTAAGGCTGTAGGATCAAGTCTCAGTAACGCACACCTGTCAATGCGGCCCATACCATGACACTCCCGCCGCAAAATGGGACAACCTGCTGCACACAGTTGGGGGCGTAACGTTCACCCCGACGTCTGTAGACATGTGCGCGCCCATCAGCACGTGTGAGTAGGAAACGGGACTCGTCAGTAAACAGTACATTTCTCAACCTTGCACGTGTCCATCTAACCCTCTGTTGGCACCAAAGCAGACGGTCCGCCAGATGACGTTGGGTCAATACATGACGTCGAACAGGTCTTCGTACAAAAAATCCAGCCTCCCTCAGTCTGTTGCGTACCGTTTGATCTGATATTCTGCGTACCCCAGGGATCTGTGTGGTTGTAGACGCGGCTGGGGTAGTGCGGTCTCGGAGGTGTCGCAGCCGGATGTATCGATCTTGTGCTTGGGTTGTCGCCCTTGGTCTTCCTGACCTTGGTCTGTCGTCAACTCTGTTGGTGTTGTTGTATCGGGTCTACAGTGCGGAGATTGTCTGTCTGGATACGCCAAAGTGCCTGGCCACTTCTTGCTGAGTTGCTCTAGCTTGTAATCTCCCAATGGCGTTGTTCCGTTGAGCTGCATTCAGTCTTGGCATTCTGTCACCGCCTCTACTGCCGTTATAAGGACTGTATGAACAGCCGTTGGTGTGGATTTTTTATACCCATTCAGCAGGGGGGCCTGCATGCCTAAATGCAGGATCCTGTGCTGCACGTTTTTTACGGGCGGTTGCGTTTGGATGAAGATGTAAAATTGATCCCCAAACGCTACGTTTATGTGCTTTGCATGTGTTTTCGCGAATTATAGACACATCATCTTTCTGTTTGACTTATTTGGTTCTCATTTAATGTAATTAGTTTATATATTATGCAAAAAGTGGTTTTACATCCATGTCAAGTTTCTTTTTTTGAAGAGTATATACATACACAGACTGTTGAAGAAACGCGTAATCGTCTTCCATATTAATTATGTTCTTGTCCGGTGTTTTTTAACATTTAAATAAAGGTATTTAAGCTCATATTTAAAATTTTATTAAATCTGGTTTTGTCGCCAAAATGGTATGTCCCTCAGCATGTCTTTATGAACTTCTATCGAATAGGGATGGTACCTGATGTTCGCAAAAAATGTGAATGTATCCTGTCCCACCCGTGGCAAATAAAACAAGTTTCCTTACCTGCGGCTGATTAAAACCTGCATTGATTTCCGTTACAGTGTAGATGTATTTGTGTTTCATATTTTATGTCATCCTCGTTTAGATAAGAAACAAGGCCACAATGAAGTTGCTGATGGTGATCCTGGTGCATGGTGGTGAGTATATCAAGGACACGTGTTTTTCCATTTGTGTCTGGTGCAAACTGGTGAGTATACCAGAGACACGTCCCTTCGATTCTTTGGCGTTGGTCAGCCTGGTGCAAACTGGTGAGTATACCAGAGACACGTCCCTTCCATTCTTTGGCGTTGGTCAGCCTGGTGCAAACTGGTGAGTATACCAGAGACACGTCCCTTCCATTCTTTGGCGTTGGTCAGCCTGGTGCAAGCTGGTGAGCATACAAGAGACACGTCCCTTCCATTCTTTGTCGTTGGTCAGCCTGGTGCAAGCTGGTGAGTATACCAGAGACACGTCCTTTCCATTCTTTGGCGTTGGGCAGCCTGGTGCAAGCTGTTGAGTATACCAGAGACACGTCTCTTCCATTCTTTGTCGTTGGTCAGCCTGGTGCAAGATGGTGAGTATACCAGAGACACGTCCTTTCCATTCTTTGTCGTTGGTCAGCCTGGTGCAAGCTGGTGAGTATACCAGAGACACGTCTCTTCCATTCTTTGTCGTTGGTCAGCCTGGTGCAAGATGGTGAGTATACCAGAGACACGTCTCTTCCATTTATTGTCGTTGGTCAGCCTGGTGCAAGCTGGTGAGTATACCAGAGACACGTATATTCTATTCTTTGTCGTTGGTATTATAAGCCTGGTGCAGGCTTGTGAGCCTACAAGAGACACGTCCTTTCCAGTTATTGTCGTTTGTATTATAAGCCTGGTGCAAGTTGGTGAGTATACCAGAGACACGTCTCTTCCATTCTTTGTCGTTGGTCAGCCTGGTGCAAGCTGTTGAGTATACCAGAGACACGTCTCTTCCATTCTTTGTCGTTGGTCAGCCTGGTGCAAGATGGTGAGGATACCAGAGACACGTCCCTTCCATTCTTTGTCGTTGGTCAGCCTGGTGCAAGATGGTGAGGATACCAGAGACACGTCTCTTCCATTCTTTGTCGTTGGTCAGCCTGGTGCAAGATGGTGAGTATACCAGAGACACGTCTCTTCCATTCTTTGTCGTTGGTCAGCCTGGTGCAAGATGGTGAGGATACCAGAGACACGTCTCTTCCATTCTTTGTCGTTGGGCAGCCTGGTGCAAGCTGGTGAGTATACCAGAGACACGTCCCTTCCATTCTTTGTCGTTGGTCAGCCTGGTGCAAGCTGGTGAGTATACCAGAGACACGTCCTTTCCATTCTTTGTCGTTGGTCAGCCTGGTGCAAGCTAGTGAGTATACCAGAGACACGTATATGCCATTCTTTGTCGTTGGTATTATAAGCCAGGTGCAAGCTGGTGAGCATACCAGAGACACGTCCTTTCAAGTTATTGTCGTTTGTATTATAAGCCTGGTGCAAGCTGGTGAGCATACCAGAGACACCTCCTTTCCAGTTACTGTCGTTGATCAGCCTGGTGCAAGCTGGTGAGTATACCAGAGACACGTCCTTTCCATTTATTGTCGTTGGGCAGCCTGGTGCAAACTGGTGAGTATACCAGAGACACGTCCTTTCCATTTATTGTCGTTGGGCAGCCTGGTGCAAACTGGTGAGTATACCAGAGACACGTCCTTTCCATTCTTTGTCGTTGGGCAGCCTGGTGCAAGCTGTTGAGTATACCAGAGACACGTCTCTTCCATTCTTTGTCGTTGGTCAGCCTGGTGCAAGATGGTGAGTATACCAGAGACACGTATATTCTATTCTTTGTCGTTGGTATTATAAGCCTGGTGCGATGCTTGTAAGTATACCAGAGACACGTCCTTTCCATTCTTTGTCGTTTGTATTATAAGCCTGGTGCAAGTTGGTGAGCATACCAGAGACACGTCCCTTCGATTTATTGTCGTTGATCAGCCTGGTTTAAGCTGGTGAGTATACCAGAGACACGTCCTTTCGATTCTTTGTCGTTGGGCAGCCTGGTGCAAACTGGTGAGGATACCAGAGACACGTCCTTTCCATTCTTTGTCGTTGGTCAGCCTGGTGCAAACTGGTGAGTATACCAGAGACACGTCCTTTCCATTTATTGTCGTTGGGCAGCCTGGTGCAAACTGGTGAGTATACCAGAGACACGTCCTTACCATTCTTTGTCGTTGGGCAGCCTGGTGCAAGCTGTTGAGTATACCAGAGACACGTCTCTTCCATTCTTTGTCGTTGGTCAGCCTAGTGCAAGCTGGTGAGTATACCAGAGACACGTCCCTTCCATTCTTTGTCGTTTGTCAGCCTGGTGCAAGCTGGTGAGTATACCAGAGACACGTCCCTTCCATTCTTTGTCGTTGGTCAGCCTGGTGCAAGCTGGTGAGTATACCAGAGACACGTCCCTTCCATTCTTTGTCGTTTGTCAGCCTGGTGCAAGCTGGTGAGTATACCAGAGACACGTCCTTTCCATTCTTTGTCGTTGGTCAGCCTGATGCAAGCTGGTGAGTATACCAGAGACACGTATATTCCATTCTTTGTCGTTGGTATTATAAGCCTGGTGCAAGCTTGTAAGCATACCAGAGACACGTCCTTTCCATTCTTTGTCGTTTGTATTATAAGCCTGGTGCAAGTTGGTGAGCATACCAGAGACACGTCCCTTCGATTTATTGTCGTTGATCAGCCTGGTTTAAGCTGGTGAGTATACCAGAGACACGTCCTTTCCATTTATTGTCGTTGGGCAGCCTGGTGCAAACTGGTGAGTATACCAGAGACACGTCCTTTCCATTTATTGTCGTTGGGCAGCCTGGTGCAAACTGGTGAGTATACCAGAGACACGTCCTTTCCATTCTTTGTCGTTGGGCAGCCTCGTGCAAGATGGTGAGTATACCAGAGACACGTCTCTTCCATTCTTTGTCGTTGGTCAGCCTGGTGCAAGATGGTGAGTATACCAGAGACACGTATATTCTATTCTTTGTCGTTGGTATTATAAGCCTGGTGCGATGCTTGTAAGTATACCAGAGACACGTCCTTTCCATTCAAGCCTGGTGCAAGTTGGTGAGCATACCAGAGACACGTCCCTTCGATTTATTGTCGTTGATCAGCCTGGTTTAAGCTGGTGAGTATACCAGAGACACGTCCTTTCCATTTATTGTCGTTGGGCAGCCTGGTGCAAACTGGTGAGGATACCAGAGACACGTCCTTTCCATTCTTTGTCGTTGGTCAGCCTGGTGCAAACTGGTGAGTATACCAGAGACACGTCCTTTCCATTTATTGTCGTTGGGCAGCCTGGTGCAAACTGGTGAGTATACCAGAGACACGTCCTTTCCATTCTTTGTCGTTGGGCAGCCTGGTGCAAGATGGTGAGTATACCAGAGACACGTCTCTTCCATTCTTTGTCGTTGGTCAGCCTAGTGCAAGCTGGTGAGTATACCAGAGACACGTCCCTTCCATTATTTGTCGTTTGTCAGCCTGGTGCAAGCTGGTGAGTATACCAGAGACACGTCCCTTCCATTCTTTGTCGTTGGTCAGCCTGGTGCAAGCTGGTGAGTATACCAGAGACACGTCCCTTCCATTCTTTGTCGATCGTCAGCCTGGTTTAAGCTGGTGAGTATACCAGAGACACGTCCTTTCGATTCTTTGTCGTTGGTCAGCCTGATGCAAGCTGGTGAGTATACCAGAGACACGTCCCTTCCATTCTTTGTCGTTTGTCAGCCTGGTGCAAGCTGGTGAGTATACCAGAGACACGTCCTTTCGATTCTTTGTCGTTGGGCAGCCTGGTGCAAACTGGTGAGGATACCAGAGACACGTCCTTTCCATTCTTTGTCGTTGGTCAGCCTGGTGCAAACTGGTGAGTATACCAGAGACACGTCCTTACCATTCTTTGTCGTTGGGCAGCCTGGTGCAAGCTGTTGAGTATACCAGAGACACGTCCTTTCCATTCTTTGTCGTTGGTCAGCCTGATGCAAGCTGGTGAGTATACCAGAGACACGTATATTCTATTCTTTGTCGTTGGTATTATAAGCCTGGTGCAAGCTTGTAAGCATACCAGAGACACGTCCTTTCCATTCTTTGTCGTTTGTATTATAAGCCTGGTGCAAGTTGGTGAGCATACCAGAGACACGTCCCTTCGATTTATTGTCGTTGATCAGCCTGGTTTAAGCTGGTGAGTATACCAGAGACACGTCCTTTCCATTTATTGTCGTTGGGCAGCCTGGTGCAAACTGGTGAGGATACCAGAGACACGTCCCTTCCATTCTTTGTCGTTGGTCAGCCTGGTGCAAACTGGTGAGTATACCAGAGACACGTCCTTTCCATTTATTGTCGTTGGGCAGCCTGGTGCAAACTGGTGAGTATACCAGAGACACGTCCTTTCCATTCTTTGTCGTTGGGCAGCCTGGTGCAAGCTGGTGAGTATACCAGAGACACGTCTCTTCCATTCTTTGTCGTTGGTCAGCCTGGTGCAAGATGGTGAGTATACCAGAGACACGTCCCTTCCATTTATTGTCGTTGGTCAGCCTGGTGCGAGCTGGTGAGTATACCAGAGACACGTATATTCTATTCTTTGTCGTTGGTATTATAAGCCTGGTGCAAGCTTGTGAGCCTACCAGAGACACGTCCTTTCCATTTATTGTCGTTGGGCAGCCTGGTGCAAACTGGTGAGTATACCAGAGACACATCTCTTCCATTCTTTGTCGTTGGTCAGCCTGGTGCAAGCTGGTGAGTATACCAGAGACACGTCTCTTCCATTCTTTGTCGTTGGTCAGCCTGGTGCAAGATGGTGAGTATACCAGAGACACGTCCTTTCCATTCTTTGTCGTTGGTCAGCCTGGTGCAAGCTGGTGAGTATACCAGAGACACGTCCTTTCCATTCTTTGTCGATCGTCAGCCTGGTTTAAGCTGGTGAGTATACCAGAGACACGTCCTTTCGATTCTTTGTCGTTGGTCAGCCTGATGCAAGCTGGTGAGTATACCAGAGACACGTCCCTTCCATTCTTTGTCGTTTGTCAGCCTGGTGCAAGCTGGTGAGTATACCAGAGACACGTCCTTTCGATTCTTTGTCGTTGGGCAGCCTGGTGCAAACTGGTGAGGATACCAGAGACACG